AGAATAAAAAAAGACTGATAAGTAATTATTTGGTGTCCAATTTGAGAAGGCAGAGAGTTGGAGAGGAAGAAGGAAGAGAGAGAAAGAGAAGGAAGAGGGGCAAAAGCAGGAAGAAAGAGAAAGAGTAATAGAATTTTCTAAGCAGAGTCTCTGGGAGCTGAAGGAGGAAGCCCCAGCTTTCCTCGCTGCCGTGTTCCTTCTGTCTCCAGGCAGGTCTTCTCCCCTGATGGACCTTCCTCTCTCTATACCCCCAACCCATGCACTGGGGTGGACCCAAGTGCTCAATGCCCCAGTCCACTAGGCCAGTGGTGATTTTGCCCCCAAGGGGACACTGGGTGATGTCTGAAGACATTTTTTGGTTGTCACAACTCTGGGAAAGTGGTGCTCTTGACATCTGGTGGGTGGAGGCCAGGGACACTTCTCAACACCCTATAATACATGGGATAGCCTCACCACATAGAATGACCTGGCACCCCAGCCTTAGAGGTCAACAGGGTGAAGTTAGAAAACTTTGCTCGAGTCAGCAGCAATTACCTGGGGGGTTGCCTGGAGGACACCATTGCCACCAGGCTCCCCGTGTGGGGCTGGAAGGCGGGGACAGCCTCGTCGGTGTACAGGCCGCCATCCTGCCGGTGGTTCAGGCTCACCAGGTCAGTCATCACCACCAGTCCCATTTCCTAGGCAATAGACAACATCCAGACCCACGGTGGGGAAGTGTATGTGATTGCCCCAATAGTTCTCATCACCCTAGGGCCACTAGCCCAACACTGCTGCTGTGTCATGGCCCTGCTGTGGGCTTGGTGACACGGACTAGGGGGATCGTGGCACCCAGTGACCATCCCAGGCAGAGCAAAGGGAAGGCCAACATATCTGTAGGCCTGACACAAAAGGCCACATATTGTATGATCCCATTTATATGAAATGTACAGAACAAGCAAATCCACAGAGACAGAAAGTAGATTGGTGGTTGTCAGGGGCTGGGGGAGGGGGAATAAGGAGTGACTGCTGATGGAGATGGAATTTTCTTTTGGGGTGATGAAAATGTTCTGGACTAGATAGAGGTGGTAGTTGTACAACATTGTGAATATACTAAATGCCAATGAATAGTTCACTTAAAAATGGGTTTTCTGGGGCCGGCTGAGTGGCACGTTGGTTAAGAGCTGGCTTGGGACGCCAGAGGGCCCTGGTTTGGATCCCACATACGAGGAGGGCCAGTGACACTGCCCTCTACAGCTAAGATG